GAGAGAGAGAGAGAGAGAGAGAGAGAGAGAGAGAGAGAGAGAGAGAGAGAGAGAGAGAGAGAGAGAGAGAAGAATGTTTGTCAAATGATACACAGCAGGCAAACCACTACTTGTTTATCAATAAGTGACGAGTTCAAGGTTCAAAACAGTGAAAGCCGTTGTGTGTAATTTCCAATAGCAGAATTGCATTGTGAGTACGTGACTACGCAGGCCAAGTCCGATTTTCCTCTTTCATTATTAAGTCTTGCTCTATATCGACTGGCTGGGTTGGCCCCCCCTCCAGGTCCCCCTCCTCCCCCAATCCCCCCATCCCCCCAGTTCCTCTCTCTCTCTCTAGACAAGCTCGGTAAGGTGGGTCTGGTAGGCCGGGGCCATGTGTACTTGTGGTTTAACATTTCCTTTCCTTGCTCACAAAACATTGGCTAGTAGTACTTCCATCTATTGGTCGTTTAGCACCTCCGAGTCGTTGATGGAGACATTGGAGAGGTTTTTTTTTTTTTTTTTTTTTTTTTTTTTTTTTTTTTTTAGTATTACGTCTACCGTTGGTAAGAATAGAATTTGTTAATTTTGTTAGAGATTAGACCTGTGCAATGAGCCCAGACGTGATGATACTCGTCAACATTACCAGCCCATATGATTATCAACCTGCTGATGAATGACAAACAATCGCAAATGTGTGAAGAGAGAATGAGGTGGAAAACATACACAGACGAAGAGGAAAAGGGGAGAATAGACAAAGGAGAGAGAAGAAGACAACAACCCACTTCTGCTTCGGGTCCCTCCTCCTCCTCACCACCTCATCAATCAATAGACTAAATACAATGTCTGAAGTTCTTTCTCAATGTGCCATGTGGCACGTCAATCTGTCTACATCAGCGAACTGGAGAGTATCGTCATCAACCAGGTACGTATCCTCGTTAACCACAGTCTTGATCCCCTTCCGAAGTGACGAAGAATCAGAACAGCCTCTTCAATCATGTAGCCCGCCACGTCATCAACATATACAGGTGGCAGCGGCCACGTCAGCAATGGCGCATGGCAGCTGCCACRTCARSATGCCCAGAAGACCATCGCCAGCCAGCCACTATGCCAGCCAGYARCGCCTTGCYGTCCTCCTCCTATGCCAGCMTARAGCCRGCGTCAAGCCAATGTCGCAGCGTCACAGCGTYGCAGCGTCAATGTCRAAGTCAATGCGTGCAGCATTGACACAAGACCGAATGCCCYTCCAGYCAGGAAGTCAACTCTTAAGTAGYGTRGATGCGGGGTCTGGACCCCGGGTGCTGAAGTCCTGCACCGTCCAGATCTCGATGTGAATGAGGGCCCAGATTGGCCAGAAACTGTATTCCTCCCGCCCTGAATGCTGTCTGGGTACCTGCACACAACAAGTGAATGTATCCGACCATAGGCCTGGGCGCGGTACCTTTGACTCTACAGTTGACTTTGACTGTTGAATTTCCTTTGTGCCGCGTTCGGTCACACAGCCTCCTCGACAGACTCAGGCTGGGCATGTCTCGGTCACATAGCCCAGCACAGACAACTGAGTCTGTGTTTTTACCGGGGGCGAAGTTCTGAGCCCCGGTCTGCTGCTGAACAGGGTTACTGCACCTATTGCCGTTGTTGGTTTCTGTTTGCTGCGCTTGTGGAACTGTTGTTCGCCCCGTCATTATTAGGGTTTGTTTTACAAAAGCTTCGCTTTTTTGAGTTGACGAGTGGTTGTGGTCCGGCCCTGGGGCTTGACGGATGATGTGTCGCCCTCGGACGGGGCCACTCAATTTTGGCGATGCCAGGAGCCCAATTCCTGGCCTTTTGAAATATAAGGGACACTGGGCACGGTTCCCACTCCTCCTCAGAAAAAAAAAAAAAAAAAAAAAAAAAAGGTAAATTACTAAATTAGTAAATTGAAAATAAAAGTCAACAATATTTTTTTGAGAAATTTTGACTTTTATGTTTGAAATTTGAATTTATTTCTGACCTCGCCGGGCAAGTGGTCCCAGGCCACTCTGGTAAAACGATCGAGTCAGATACATTTATTTAGGAAAAACTTCCCAACCCAAAAAAGTGATAGTGTATGAGTATGGCCTTAGTATAGAGAACTTCACCACTTCTGTGCCTGCCCAGTCCATTCCGCACCCCACAGCCGCCGAACTTTCTCCTTGATATCGGGCGGGAAGTCGTACTTCAGCCATTCGGATACCTACACAGACAAAATCCAAACGAGGAAAAAGTGCCCAAACCCACCACACAGGCATCAATTCCACAATTGTGAATGTGCGAGAGAATTTTTAGAGAATTCGTAAAAACAATGTAATTCGGAGTTTACATATCACGAAACAAATTACATTGTAACCTGGCGTTCCATACGCCCAGACAGTCCTTCTACCCCAGTTTCGCTCAGACTGCTGAGCGAAAAACAGCATAGCCGCCGCAAAAAAAAACATCATGTGTGGCATTGCTGGGCCAGAAGGATTTGAGCTCAAAACCTTTTCCCCCAAATGCTGAAGTGCTCTTCTGCTCTTTTGCTCTTTTGCTGCTTCTGGGACTCACACCTAGGACCTTCAGATTGGGGGCCACTAACAGTCTAGAGAAGGACCTTTTTTTTTCACTAAAAAAAAAAAAAAAAAAAAAAAAAAAAGCTCCCCTTTCTGCCCAAGCGGGGGCTAGCTCAGTTGCTTGAGCACATAAGAGGCATTCATGAGGTCTTGTGTTCGATTCATTCCCCTCGTCGTCCGTTCGGTCCCCCTCGGCTCACCAGCGGAGATGGTTGGCTTGTGCCTCCTGGCTAGTTGTGGATGTTGTTCCAGGCTTTTCAGCCTGCGCCAGGTGTTAGGAGGAGCCTGCTCCCTGTTACACAGCAGAGTAGGAAGATGGTCCGTGTCCCCTGCCGGGTGGGTCCCGTCCGAGGGCGGGTAGGAGTCTCGCGGGAGGATCATGTCCGAGACAACAAACGATTGAAAAAAGAAAACGAAAAGGAGGGTGAAAAAAAAAAAAGAGTTCACCCTTTCACGAAACGAGGATAAGCAGTTGCAATATATGGATATATCTTCCCAAAAAAAAAAAAAAAGAATTAAAATTTTTTAAGGGATTAAAAAAAATAAAAAATAATAAAAATGAAAAAAAAAACGAGGATAAGAAAAAGCACAACCCGGATGCTGTGGTAGTTTCAAGGATCGAGCGGACGAAGAATGGTTTCTTCGAAAGTCGAAAACACAAAACAAGGGGCCTCGCTGAGCGTTGGAATAAAATAGCTGGGAATGGGACTGATGGTTCGAAAAAATGATCTCCACAGAGTGACCGTGCAGCTCTCTATGTGCGTCAAAAAGCGAAAAGCAAAAAGTTAAGCTCTTCTTCTACGTCTTTCCATGAAAGCATGCAAGCTTCCTGGCACCTGGCACCTAGTGGCAAATACTTTTGGGCCTGAAGGGCCTTGAGGGCCATAAGGCTGAGGGTCCCCCATGAGTCTGAGTCTGAGGGCCAAGCCCTACTGGCAATGATTCAGACATGCTCGTAGTGCGCATGGAAATGGCCCTTAATCAAGCCAGGTTCATGCCTTCCCCTCAGGGTCCCTCATGAGTCTGAGGGCCAAGCCCCGCTGGCAATGATTCAAACATGCTGGTAGAGCGCATGGAAATGGCCGTTAATCAAGCCAGGTTCATGCCTTCCCCGTCCAAAAAAAGCACCAGCATGGCCTGACCCTGACAGTTTGTAAAGCCTGAGCAGCAATGGAGCATGGCACTGGCTGTCTTCAAACCTCAACTGCGGATCATACTTGTTCGCAAACAGAATGGAAATGGCCGTTAATCAAGCCAGGTTCACATGCCTTCCCTGTGCAAAAAAAGCACCGGCATGGCCTGGCCCTGACAGTTTGTAAAGCCTGAGCAGCAATGGAGCCTGGCACTGGCAGTCGTCAAACTTCAACTGCCGTTCACACTTGTTCACAAACAGAATAAAATGACAAAAAAGGAAAGCGTGTGATAAAACTTTTTAAAAGGTAGTTAAGTAACGCTGGTAGCTTGCTGTCATTACAATTGCATGCAGGCAAAAAACAAACAAACAAACAAACAAACAAACAATTGCTTTCAGGCTGCTGTGTAGTCCGGGGCAAGGTCCCACTTGCACGGATTAGGAGATTTCGGCCGTTGATCTTTGCTATCTACGGTCAGTATCTCTTAATTCGTGCAAGTGGGACCTAGCCCCCGAACACGCATATTTCAGGCTCAGTAAGCGACCCCGGTAGTTTGCTGTCACTACAATTGCATGCCTGCTCACACAGACAACTACAATGTTATGGGACGCTGGACCCGGTTCCCAGCAGGTGCTGGTCCCCACCAATAGATGGAGCCTCCCCGGCGGTGCTAGTGGTGCCTTCTCTTATCAGCACCCAGTGCTGCACATAATAGTACCAAGCCATCTGCTACCAAGCCATTTGCTGCAATGCCATGTGCTGCCAAGAGGGCGTTATGTAGGTGCAAGTCGGCCACACTGCTTGTTTGCGAACCACATAAAAGAGTTTTTATGCCGTTTTGGGTCATCAAGCCGGCATGGCTCAGTGGTAGAGCGTCTGCTTCGTAAGCTGAAGATCGTGAGTTCGATCCTCACTGTCGGCAAACCGTCCTTGTTTTGCAATACATATGTGGATGAGGCAGCAGATGTCGTGACAACAGCTGATGAGGCAGCAGACGATGACATAGCAGCAAATGGATTGGCAGCAGATGGCGTAGTAGCAAATGGCTTGGTAGCAAATGGACTGCCAGCAGATGACGTAGCAGAAGATGACGTGGCAGCAAATGGTACCGGTAGGGGCATCTCGAAAATTTTCCTGCTGGCTTTTAACAGCCATCCGGAAGGGGCATCTCGCAAATTAGGGACCGGTAGGGCATCCCGCAAATTAGGGACCGGTACCGGTAGGGGCGTAACAAAAGGATTTGAGGCCCAAACGACACCGGGGTCTTATGGAAAATTTGAACCCTGCTCAGAGGGGCGCGACAGGGTAAATCGGCCGTTGGAGGGGCACGACGCAAAATAACGCAAATTACAGGGGCGCCACACAAATTTTCCCTTCATAATTTCAATATACGGTTTATGCTTCCCAAATACGAAGTAGTTTTTTTTGAATCGGCCATAAAAAAAAAAAAAAAAAAAAAAAAAAAAAAAGTTGGACGAATCTGGAAACCTCAGATCGGAGGGTCACTTTATCGAGGTGATAAGAGCATCCCCGATAAGTGGCCTCCACTTTTGAAGGCTCCGTCTATTGGTGGGGAGCAGCACCTACTGGAAACCGGGTCCAGCGTCCAAATACAATGCAACAATGTGTGTCAACACAGTGTTCCCCTGGGACTGTGGTCGTTTCGCTTCTGACCCCGGGCCTCCGTTCTCCCATGGAACTGGGACTACCGTCCTCTGGTCATTATAATAGCTGTATTTGGCACAACTTTCAGCCCAGATACGGCGATAACTACTGGGCGTTCTATTCCGGTTGAGATGGTAGTGTTACCCATCCCCTCCTGGAGCACCACCTTATCTTTTTTTTTTTTTTTTTTTTTTTTTAATTTTATTTTAAGTAATCTATATTCTTGTCTCATCTATTTCATCTTTTCTTGGTAGTATGCATCTATCTCATCCTCTCGCTAGTCTATTTATATTGACACAGTAAAATTACACCACTTATTTTTATTTATTTCTGGTTTCCAAAACCACCAGTAAACCCTGGCCTGCAGGTGGCGTACTGCGCGCCAAGCTTTTCCGAACCACCAGCGGCGGCATACTCTTTTTCTTTTTTGGCTGCCGCCTCCAGCCATTGTAGTCGGGTAGGCCAAGCCTCCGAATATTTTTGTAGGTGACGAGTTTCTTTTTCAGCAAGGCTGGGGCCGTGTACTGGCGGTTCAAGGCGTCTGGCTGTTTGAGCCTGAAGTCGTCGGTTCGATTTCTTGCGCGGTCTACACAAAGTGATGGTACGAAAAACCGAAAACCCAAAAAACAATGAAGGCTGCAGCTTAAACCACCAGTTTGTTTCCCAGCCATTTTTTCTTCAATGCGCCTTGCACGCTGCTGCAACTTGTGAGGGTCGGCAGCCGGAGCAAAATGGCTACCAGCACCGGCCAAAATCAGGCCCGCCGCACCAATTCTGTTCTTTTGGTGCACACGGCGTTTGGAGCCCCGTGCGAAAGTGGCTCGGAAGTACCGGTGGTTTTCTTTCTTTCTTTTTTTTTTTTTTTTTTGGGGGGGGGGGGGGGGGGGGGGGGGGGGGAAGTACCGGTGGTTTAAACCACACTGTTCTTACTATTTTGCAAATTATCCCTTTTTTTCTTAGTTTTTCTTTCCTTTTTTTTCCATCCTTGAGCAGGGGCCATGCTAATCTTCTGTGTATCGTTCCAATTTCACCGGATGTCCCGAAGCACTTCTGCATGTATGATTATTGGGGAAAAAAAAAAAAAAAAAAAAAAAAAGAACGCAACCTTACGGGGCTGCCTCCATATCCATTTTGGAGATCGTCAGTCCGGTTCCTATTCCACCGGCAAGTCAGAAATAATTACATCAGACGGCATTGATTAGTTCGTGAAGGATGGTGGATGTACCAGTGTACCACCCTCCCCCGTGCCTAAGTTAGCCTGCAGTACTTATGATGAAAGGCCTTCCGCGATTCAGACCCCAAATTCGAGTGTCAGGGTCAGCGGCCCTTGCCAAGAAAGGCCGAGTCAGTCAGTTTCAGAAAAGTCACAGCCAGATACCTTAGCAGTCAAGTCCAACGGGCCCCCGGCAAACAGTCACATCTCAAGGGTAAAATCACGTCTCATAATGAAAAGTCATGTTGAAGAGTCACATCCCACGAGTAAAAAGGGCAGTTCCACAGGCAGGAGTCGTGTCCCAGAGGCAGGAGTCACAGTCCACAGTCAAAACCATGTGTCATAATCGAAAAGTCGAGACTCGAAAGGCCCAAGCAGCAGCAGACCAATGAAAATTCGGGAAGGTTCCAGGCCCTGACATTCGAAAGCAGACAGGCCGTGGGGGATGTGGTACCGGAACCAAGCCAAGCCCCAAGAAGCAGAGGCTGGCAAGAGCTGAAGCTCGGTCCAAGACGATATAAGGACTGGCCAGCCTCCTCAGTAGGCAGGTTGCTCATTCGCATGAAGTGTGGAAATGATGGTGCACTTGTGCGCTATTGTGAGGGGCGGAGCGCTGAGCCAGAGAGCTGCGCTAGGAGAGAGAGAGAGAGAGAGAGAGAGAGAGAGAGAGAGAGAGAGAGAGAGAGAGAGAGAGAGAGAGAGAGAGAGAGAGCAGCGACAGCCGCCCAGCACTGGTAGAGGGAAGGCAGCCATAGCTGCGCCAGTGCTAGTAGTTAGCAGTAGACCTCAGAGGGGTTAGTAGAGTTCGCAGTGGGTGTATTCAGAGTTGGTCCTTGAGTAATAGAAGGTGTGTGAGTGCATGCAAATAGGGAGAGAAGACACAGAGAGGCAGTAGACAGAGAGAAGACCGAGAGAGAAGAGAGAAGAGCTTCGGAAGAGTTACATACCTGAGTGGAGATACTGGATACTTGGGTTTGCGCTGTTTAGCACCTGTGACTAAAACTCCTAATTGCTTGTATGATAATTTGCTCGAACTCTAAGCTGCGCTTACCTGGTCTTCGTTTCTCTGGCCTCCTGTGTGAACTTCGTGTGATCTTATTCATGCATGGTATGTGATTATGTGCGCTCACTGGTGGTGAACTGAGAGGTTCGTTGCAATGAACTTAGAACCTACGGTAGACTGCCCTCTCCTGTCTCTATCTGCTGGCTGCGGGGAACCTCAGCAGTCACTTACCGCCGTCTTCGCCCGAATAGAACCCCAGTCATTATAGCTGTATTTACAGCAGGTTTCAGTTCAGATGCGGCGACCATGATGCAATGACTTGCTGATTCTGCAGCCTGCGGCCCGTCGCACCAAGGCTGTAACATAAGCAGGGCAGATTCGTAATTTTGTTTTATGAAGGACTAACCGTGATATCCGCCTGTGGGGAAATTCGTGAGGGACATATCTGTAAATTTGGGAAAATTTCAGGCCCGTACTAATTCGGATTTCCTATAGCTACCCTGACTGCAAATAGCAGGCCCGGGCTACCACGAGGACAGACAGGCCCTAGGGCCTACGCTGATAAACTGGTCCTATAGCCTATAGCTGGGGAGGGAGAGGCCCTAGAGGCCGAAACTGAAACGGTACCGGGCGGTCCAGTAGGTCTGGTCTAGGACGAGTCTAGGCTAGAGTAGATCTATTAATAGATTGAGGAAGGCTGTTCCGGGCTTTTGGCGGTTGGCATTTTGCATATCGTGACGGCACAATGCGTGAACTGGAGTGGTGACAGCTTCAGCGTTGAAGAAGACAGACATAGCCAGACCCTCGAAGCGTCGGCCATAGCTGAGTCCTTCGCTGTTCTCTTGCAGCACGTGGGGCTGCTCAGAGGTCTGGGCTATCTGAGGTCTGCTGGAAGCTCAAGAAGTTGGTGCCCTGCGGAACCCTCCTCAGGAGTAGGGTTCAGGGTGGTGGCGCTGCAGCTTACATCCTCAGAGATCTCCTTTGTCAGGAAAGGTGGCGCTGCTGCAGATCTTCATCAGTGAAGTTATCCGGCACTTCATCTTCATCAGAGACTGTGGCGCTGGTCCTCTTCTTCATCCTCTGAGAGGCGCTTGGGCTCAGGGGCCTTTTCAGTGTGGCGCTCCGCTCTGGAGGCAGGATCTGGGTGGCGCTGGTTGTTTCAGGGGTTCTTGGGTAGTAGATAGCGGTTACTCTGGGTTGAGAGAGAAGCGCTGCTCATTCCTGAGCAGCGCACCATGTTTCTGAAACTATTCTGGCAAAACGGTTCTCTGAGCTTAATAAACAGTGTGGATACTGTGTGGATACTGTGTGAGAACTATCTTTGCTTCATTGTTTTCTGGATGCGATCTACTCGACTTTCCTTTGTGACTGGTTGTGGGGATTATGTGGAGCGAATTGCACTTTCAGTGTGTTCTGTCGTATCGCATGGTCAAGTCTTCCGCTGTGTTTCTTTCTCGCTGTGCGGTGTGACACTCCTATCCTCTCCCCTTCCTTCTGTGTATGTATGGGCATGCATGGAAGTCTATGTGAGCGAGTGTTGGTCTTCAGACAACAAGCAACCAGGTTCATAACGACGACCGGGCGTTCTACTCGGGTGAAGACGGTAGCTTATTCCTCTCAGCTGCTACAGTCTTCCCCCGAATACAAATGAATTTAGACTCAAAGATACACCAAATTCAGCTATAATGACCATACGTTGTATTCGGGGGAAGACTGTAGGCTGTCAGATTAGCTTTAGGTACTGGAGCTGCTAATCCGATTTCTTGCTACCCTTCCTATTAGACTCTATCCCTTTAGCTGTTTTTTTTTTTTTTTTTTTTTTTTTTTTTTTTTTTTTTCCGAATTAAACAGGTCCATATGTCCCTGGCTCCATGTCCATTTTGGGGAGAATCAGTCTGGTTCCTATTCCTCCGGCAAGTCAGAAATAACATATTACATCATGAAACACACTCACGCTTCCTTCCGTCTGGTCGAAGGAACCCTGACCAGAATTGATTACTCCAACATCGTGGATGGAGGATTGACTATAAGCTTGCCTTACGTCCACCTTTCCTCTCAGGTCCCCACTGGCTGAACCTGCCAGATCAATCATAAAGACCAAGAAAGGTATAAATATGGAATTAGTCATTCCAGATTACATGGCCTGTAATGGATCTTGTACATCTGCTGGCTGGGATCTCTGCCTTCTGCGACTCGCTTCTGAGTTGTGTCAATCTTTCCACCGTATGCGAGAGTCATTTATCTCTGCTACTTTGCCCCCTGCCAGTCAAACCTTAGTGGATTTTGCCTTAATTCTCTTCTGTTGCT